AGCCCCAGCCCGCAGATGCCTGCCAGGAGGGACTGCCCGACGGCTGCTCCCCGGCCTGCCAGGCTGGCACAGAGAGACAGAAGGACTGAGAGCGCTGCTGGGGGACGGCCAATCCCCTGTCGCCCCCTGTGCTGCCCCATTTCTACACCCGCCCCTCCCTTTCCAGCCCCACAAGTTTGGCACCAAGATTCTCTTGTTCTTGTTTTTAAGTAATAAAAACCTTTGGGTTTGGAGGGCCTGTCTCCCCCTGTGCTGCCCCATTTCTACACCCGCCCCTCCCTTTCCAGCCCCACAAGTTTGGCACCAAGATTCTCTTGTTCTTGTTTTTAAGTAATAAAAACCTTTGGGTTTGGAGGGGGCTGTTTCCTCCGTTGGGTGCATTCTTGGGGCTGCTCTGCCTCACGGCTATGCCCCTGGGGGCTGGAACAAAGGGGGGGGTCATGCCCCAGAAACCGACATGGGGAGCCGTGGTCCAAGTGGGGCAAGTTTATTGAAGGTGCCAGGGAGGGGATGAATGGGGGGACCCTGGTGAACTGCGAAAGGGGGCTCTGGTGAGCAGGAAAGGGGGGGGAGGAAGAAGGCATTTGGGGAGCTGTTGAGCTGGCTACTCCAGAGCGGGCTCCTCCCTTCTCTAAACCCGAGAGGCGCTTGCTCCGTGGGGTGCTGCCGCCGGGGCCCCCAACATCCTCACAGGGTCTGCATCTGCGCCTGCATCTTCTGCAGCATCTCCTGCATCCGCCGAAGCTGAGGCAACGACAGGGGGGCAGAGGTGAGACCTGGCCCTGTGGGGTGCAGGGGGGTACAGGGGCACCTGTGCTTGGGATGTAGCCCCTCTGGGGTGGGGAAAGGCCTCCCACCGACCCCCTGCCCCACTCACCTCTTCATCCTTCTCCCGGATCAGTTTCTCCGTTTCTGCCAGCGGCAGCAGTGGTAGCTCGGTGGCGCTTTGCCGGGACAGCTTCCTGGGGGGGAGTAGAGAGGTCAGGGGAGGTGGGGCCAGGTGTCCCCATGCCCCCCCTGGTCCTAGGCTGCCCCCTGGCCACTCACATGCGGCTGGAGCGGTCGCGGGCGCCCACGCGGGTCAGGCTCTGGATGCACTGGGCCCGGTAGTTCTCGTAGTGGAGTTCCTGGGTCACCTCCTTCAGGTCCTGCATGTGCGTCCGCACCAGCATGGTGCGCAGCTTCAGGAAGTCACAGTGCACCGGGTTCTCCACTGGGGGGCGACAGGGAGTCAGGGACCACTGCTGCCTCCAGTCTACAGTTGGTGCCCCCAACCTCTGCCCCCCACTGACTCTTCTACACCCCACCAGCGCCCTCCCTGCCCACCCAGTGCTCCCCACTGCACCCAAGAGATGTCCCCTCCCAGCTCCTGACCCTCAGCCTGCCAGCCCACGGCTCCCCTACCTTCCACAGCCCCCCAGGGGTACGCACGCCCCCGGAAGGCCTTTTCCTTGGTTTCCCGGACGATGTCGTTGGAGCCGACGACGGCGAATGGGATGCTGCGCTGGGGGAGTAGGCAGAGGAGCGGGGGGTTATGGGGTACACCTCCCCCCATAACTCCCCCCTCCCCTACCAACCTTCAGCTCTGCGTCCTGCGCCTTGAACTCTTCGTCCTCGTCCGAGTCGCAGTCGGGGAACTGGTAGATGCTGATGGCGTTTGCCTCCAGCTGCTCCCGGATCTGGAGTGTCGGGGGAAGTGTCACCCCCAGATCTCATGCACAAGAGACTCCTTCCCACCCCCATGGAGAAGCAGAGGGCTCAGCAGGGATGGGTGGGGTGCCGGCTGAATTGGGGTACAGGGTGATGTGGCTGGGCTTGGGAGAAAATTGGGGTGTGGGGAGGGAACCTTGGGGTGCAGAGAGATGCAGTGAGGACCACAGAAGGATGGGGTAGATCAGCAAGTCTTGGGTGAAGGGGGGAATGTGGCTTGAAATTGGGGGGACATGGAGGAATTTGGGGTTCTGGGGATGGGGCTGGGAACTGGGAGAGGGGGTGCAAGGAGAGAAATTTGGGGCACAGAGGGAGGGTGCAGGGGTGTGGCAATCGGGGCTGGGAGGTGCTAGGAGGGAAATTGGGGGTGCAGGAGGAGGGTTGGGGATGTAGGATGGGGCACTGTTTGGGGTGGCGGGGGACACAAGGGCAGGTGGTTCTGAGGTTTGGGGGAGACATGGGCAGGGGACCCCACCCTCCCAGAATGCCCCCTCCCCAAATCTCACCTTTTCCTTCATGGCGCCCACCTCCCGGGGGGTCAGCGCGTCGGCTCGGCCGATCACCGGCACGATGTTCACCTTGTGCTGCACGGCCTGCAGGAACGCCACGTCCAGGGGGCGCAGCCTGGGGCAGGGAGAGAGGAGCCCCCAAATAGTCCCTGTGGCCCCAACGACCCCCCCCATCCCACCAATGCCTCCCCGCA